TATTCATTTAGACATTAAAGTTCCATGTAGTTTTAAGTTGAATTGGAGATAAATATTAAATCTAGGTAACAATGAGGTCAATGCCGTAAAATGGGACGATCACAAGCTGACGGTGATGAGATTGGGGTCAATGACTCAGGGGAGAGGCGACCCATTTCAGTGGCCCAAGGTTGACCTTGGGCGTTATACGAATGGGGTCATGGCCCCAAGACTCTCCCGATTGGGTCTAAAAGTCGTGGCATTCAAATTTTGGATTCCATTAAAATCAAATTTTGGGAAAAATGTATTTTTGAATAATAAATTTTTGAAAAATGTATGGTTAAAAAAGAATTTTTTTATTTATATGTAATTATATGTTATTGAAGAATATATAATTAAAATGAAGAGAAAAAATGTATTTTGATATTAATGGAGTTCAAACGGGGACATATTTTTCGAGGTAAAATTACTTGGAAACCAAAATATGCTGAGTGGGTTGTTGGGGGCGGGGGTGGTGGGGTAAAATGGACATTAGAGGCACATTTATGGCAGACTTGGTAGCCGACAAACTCGGGGTCGGCAAATGTCGGCCGGTGAACCGGGGATACAACATGGCCTTAAAAATCTTTCATTTTATCCCTCCAAAAATAATATTTTAAATCCCCCATAAATCGATTATTTTAAATTAAACCCCCTCCTTTCCTCAGTTATTTCATTTTCACCCTTGTAACTTATTATTCCCAATGTTACTTGCCAATTTACAAAGCCCACAGCAGCCAGCAGCCTCAAAGCTCTCTCCTAAAAATTTCCTGATCCAAAAGAAGAAAATTGTACTGATACTAGAAAAATATTTGTTATTAAATCCACAATACAGAGAAGTGTTCATTACATGAGCCTCCTTGGATTATTTGATGATTTATGTGTTATTTTCTGGTATGTTTCTCAGTTACGATTCACAACACTGCGAATAATTTGGATATAATGTGGAAATAATAACGGGGTTTCGATTTGCAGTACTTGCATCAATGTAGTGTATTTCCTTTTTCTTTGATTTTTTATCTTTATTTTTTTGTGTAAAAGTTTTGATTCCGTCAAGTTTTTGGCTTTTTGGAAAAATGTATGAATTCTGAGATTTATTTGTCGCTCGCTTTGAAGTTATTAAAGGGAGGAAAAGGTGTTGCTTTCAATTGATTTTTTCAAGTATTATTGTTATGTTTCCTATAAATGGCTCTGCAATGGCTGTAAGTATAATCAGTTCAACTTGTTAAGTTGCTATGAGAAATCTATTAATCAAGAAGAAAATCAGTATATGATAAAAAAGGAAAATAAACTCGTTTTTTCTGTGATGTTATATAGAATTTTTTATTTTACTTTTTGTCTTGCAATGTTGATGTTTACTTTATTTCTATTTTCCAGGTGATATACAGCTGTACTATTTTCTTCCATTCTATCAGTGAAGCATGGAGATAACTGAGATTGAAGATAATTTACCCTCAATTGG